TTGAGCAATGCCAGACCGAACTTCCCGAGCTCAAACGTTGTGGGCGGGACTAAGTTCGGAATTTCACCCAGGCTAGGTATCTTGCATTTCTGTAGAGTATTTATAAATGTAACTAATTAATATATATTTGAAAAATAAGAATTTTATATTTTTTTCTTAAAAGTAGAACCTGGTTATAAATTATCATTACATTTTGTAGCAAAATCAAACCTCAGTTGGACTGCATCTAATGTCTACACACTTTTTCTAGACACCGATTTATCTGACATTTGACTTATTAAAAAACAAAATATGCATAGAGCTTCTAAAGGATCTTAAAGGTCAATATCAGCCAGAAGAAGGATGCAAACATTTAAAAAAACTGAAATCTAAATAACTAATTTTTTCTTAAAATAAGTGCATTTTGTCTTTAATTGACGAGGTAATTTGCCAATGGAAAAAGACGATTTACATTTAACCCTTTAAAGGCCGATCCAAGAATAAAACAAAACAGAAAATTACTTTTTATTAATTAATTAATTAATTAATTTTTATTAATTAATTAATTAATTTTTTGTGTAGTCTTCTGCCCTCTGTTATCAGGTATATCTGATTGTGAACAATAGGATTTTGAGCAAAGTTTTTACCATTAAATTATGCAAAAGGTGTTAGACGCAAAACATTTCAGAAACCGTATGTATCAAATATGATACATTTGGCATTATAGGGTTAAAAACCAAAATATGCATAGAGCTACAAACACTTAAAAAAAATTGAAATCTAAATAACTCATTTTTTCTTAAAATAAGTTCATTTTTTTCTTTGATTAATGAGGTAATTTGTGCATGGAAAAAGACTATTTACATTTAAAATAAGCTCTAAACTGTCTGTATAGGAAAAATGTTAATTTTTTTAAGCATCAAAAGTCCACAAGTTGATCAAGTTATCTCTGAGTTCCCCTCGATAAAGTTGTAAGCTCTTCATTGTTTATAACTTAATAGATTTTAAGAACTTTCACAAAGTAGGATCAACAAATCTTTTCAAGTCTAATACAGGTTTTATTTAACTTTACTAGATCTGGAAAAACATATTTAAGGTTTCAAGTTTACACTTCTTGGTCCCGTAGACCTTTTTCTCACTATTTTTATCCAGAGAAAATGCTCCAACTATTGAACTCACTTCAGATTTACACAGAGGGGTGCAGCAGTTTGTATTTCCATGGTTATGTCTTAGTATATAATCGTTTCTCAGCTCAGAAGTGTTCTAAGATTACATCTGAAGTCAGACTCGTTGACCTCCATCAGGTAATTACACAGTCAAGTTATTTAAGCTGCTGACGACCTGCTCCAACCTCTGGACCTACCCCTAACAACACACCTGCATGCGCATAAAACACAAGTGGCCCAATTCTTTTATTGCCGTCGCTGTAACATATGGCAGTGTTATGTGTGTGGTGTGTGAATGTGGGAGGGGGATGACTCAGGTTGAGCGGGCACCGGTGGGAAGCAGATGAAAAACTGTACTTCAACAAGCGCAGATAAAGGAATATAGCAGAGCAGTCCTGGGCTAATTGAAATGACAGCTCTGTAACATCATGTAAACCGTAAATTCGCTTCCATTGCTTTCATTTTTTTAATTTCTGAGAATATATTGTCGGAATCTGTTTTATATGAGCAGAGCTGCAGCAGCAGGCTTGGCCTAAGGCCCCGTCTGAGGCCTGGCTCAGCTCAGCGCGGCTTTGCTCTGGCCTCGCCGCAAAGTGCATTTCTCTCTCATGCGGCCCCCGACCTCTTGACGCATTTCCTGACCCAGGAAATAGAATTAACACCTTCACCTGGGATTCGGGGTCTGAGAGCCTGAGACGCAGCTGTGCGTCAGCCAAGCCCGGTCCAGACCCTGTGGACTCGTTCGAGGGCGAACCAAAGATGGAAAGGAGTTAGTTGAGGTTTTCTTTGGACCTTTAGGAAAAGGACTTTTTTTTTAAACTTCCTATTTTTATGTCTGAGTGAGCGATTGGTGTCTTTCTGCTGACGCACCTTGAGCCAAGGAGATAAGTGTTCCCGTTTTGTTGAATTCCACATTCTTTACATTTTTCAGCTAATATTAGGACTTTCATTCACTGATGCCAATAACGATTACTGTTAGACTTAGAGAGACTTTATTGTCATTTTGCACACACAGTTTATACAAAAAGAAATCTCTTTTAGTACAGCTCTCCAGACATTTCCATTTCTAAAGTGGAGCAGTGATAAAACGTAAACATGTTGAGCAAATGTAAACACAAAATTGGTATTGATTTTAACGAAACTGTTGCCGAATCTGCTATCTTGGGTGGCATATTATCGTATATATCATATATATCATATATCATGTCGCGATCCGAAAAGGATCTGAAATTTACCGGGACACATTAAATAGAGAAGCCAGGGACCGGTATGTTGACAAAATCAGCATTATTAATAATTTGGATCCATATGAAGTTCCAAAC